CCTGCAATTAATCAAACAGAAAGTGTCCCCTGCTGTCAGCTCCTTGCTGAGCAGGGCACTACCACTTTCCTTGGTGCCCAGGACAGGCAGTCTCTTCCTGAAGCCTTAACAACACTCAGCTTTGCCTACATTCTCAAGCAAAGTGAAACTTGCAAATGAAGAATTCCTACCTTGTTTTCTTTGTCCCCTCTTCATGATCCAAGCTAGAGATTACCACCTCCCAGAGCAAATAGGAACTTGTCACCCAACAGTACTTCTACCAGCTCCCTGTTTCACAACTGCATCCTGCTTTTCCTCAACCAGTTGCTCTTGTTCTCTCCTGCCTGACTCATCTCCCTCCTTAGCCAGCCTGGTGTCCTGCTAACCTCAAGACTGCTCTCGTGCTCCTGCTGGAGTCATCTGACTTGGCTGCCACTCATGTTTACCAGACAGCTCCTTCTCATCTCCCCACCACTGCTTCCTCTTGTTCCTCCACAGCTCTCAGAGCCTCCTGAACTTGTTTCAGACCCCTCAGCAGCAGAGCACGGGAGTTGTTCCCTCTGATCTCTCCACAGCAGCTCCATCTTATCTCCATGTGCTGCTGGAGTTTCCTCCCTGCCAGCTCCTGCAGGCAGAAGAGCAGCCTGGGGAGGCTCCCTGTGTACCTCATTAGTAAGTAAACACCAATACTTTTCCACATGCTTATTAATTAGCTTCCATCACGTCCACAGCCCTACTTTCAGTCATCTGCTCTCCCTGGACTATTCTAAACCAGCAAGTCCTTCTGGCACATGTTTGTGGGGAGGTTTTTCAGATTCCAGGGCAAGGGCAGCAGCACACCTTTCCCAGCCAGAAACAAAACTTTTAATTATGAAAAGTGAGCAGCACAGCACAAGACTGTAGTGTTCTGCAATCATTGGTCACATTTTGGAACACATCCATCTAAGGAGCTAGGAAGCTTTTCCTTGATATTCTACAAGCTAATTCAGCAATTAAGAGGCCAAAAGGTGTCCCTACACCCCAGGTTTTACCCATCAGTATGTCAACACCAAGTCTGTACCTTTCTCAAGAACAGCTTAATTTCTTAACAGTCCATTTACCCTGACAGGGGAGAATAATCAGCTGGCTTTCACTAAGCACTTAAAAGGTAAGCTTGTTCAGTCCTTACTAAGGCAGCTATGAAGCCAGTACTGTCCATAAGGAACATCCCCAGCAGATGTTAAACAAACAGCCCCCCCCCCCCAGGCTGGCAGCCAAAAGGTCTGTAATAAAAGACTGAGTAACCTCCAATCTCCCCCTTACCCCAAAGCTTCTGCTGGGGAATGAAAAGTCACATTGTCTAGATCAAAATCGCTCTCAAGTTACACCATGCACGTAGGAGCAAGCCCTGAGGGCTTGCACTGAGTTTCTTACCTATAAGGCTCACCTGTTGTACAGTTTGATTAGAACTTTAAATCAAAACCCCTGTCAGAGCCACGTGAGCTGAAGTGCGTGGGCAGTGCTTCCTGCTGCCAACCTGTCTTCAAAACCAACTCTCAAATATTATGTAGCAGCCAAAACAGCTGCTAAAAATACACAATATTCAAAGCATTGTGGAAAAGCAGAGGTGAAAGAGCTATCAAGTGAGGAGTCTGAGTTCAGCTAAGAAAAGCAACAGCAGACCAGCTTCCTAGATGACAAACTCTCTTAAAAAAAACCCAAGAACTCACACTGTTCTAACTTTAAGACCTATTTGCAGTATCAGGGATTTAACTTAAGGGTTGGGGTTGTTGGTGGGGTTTTTTTTGTTTTTTTTGGCCTTGTTGCTGTGTCTTCAACTATTTTTTAAAGCTTTTTATCTGCTGGTATGACTCAACTGGAAAAAGTGATTCTTGGCAATTTTTGGCAATGGCCTTACCCCAGTTTATCCCAGTCTTTCGTAAGTTTATGCCTTGCAGACTTGATGTAGACAGGAGCAGAACCCTAAGTCAGCCAGTTCTGTGGTGGGACCAGA